AATAAGAAGAATCAAAGTTAATTTGTTGTGTGTTCTTGTTTTCTCTGCATGGATTAGAGCCTCACCTGCCTATTTATAGTATACAATCGTGTTTGATGTAAATGACCATAATACCCTTATATATGTTGGTATTAAGGACTGAGGAAGTAGCGAGGAAAATGGTAATGTGGGTCGGGTCCATCTTGAGTACTACCACCATTGTTGAACATTATAACGACACTACGGTTCAAAATATCAATATTCTTTAATTATATATATTTTGGATGGGAATTTTATATATTCTTAAACTGTTTTTGTTGGTGACCTGCCAAAATTCCTCGTGTTATATATGCACTTAAAAAAACCAGCCGAACAACAAAAGGAGAGCAATACATTATTCCTCTGTCATATTAGTTACTAATAAAAATGCATTTACACTCTGTCTAGTAAATCCCAGAGTTAGAATCATGTGGGATAAACAAGGCCTTTTGGTAAAAATGTTTAATATATATATATATAACCTTGGGTAAATTATTGGACTGATACCTACCAAACATTACAAATACAAAATCGATTGTTTACACAAACAGAATTAAACTGTTGACTGAAATTTCTGAAGTTATGGTTACATTGATGCATGTTAATTCATGTAAAATTTGCATATCTAAATCCCATACATGTTTTTTTGGTATATTTTTTAATCTGAAACCAAATTTTCATGTTTTTTTTCCTTTTTTCAAAGAAATGGTTTGTATCGTCTCTTGAGCCTTGATGTATGGAATGATAAAAATAACATACTAAGCGAATTAATCCTTAGCCAATGATATCACATAGAAAAAATGAGAATTTTGCTATCTAATTTGATTTTTTTTTTTGAATTGATAATTGGGTAATTTGATTTTGTAATTAAAAAGGAAATAATGAAACGAATTAATTAAGCCACTATATATTAATAGAAGAGACACTAGATGAAAAATCTTTGGTGTCATACAAAGAAGATTTTAAAGAAATCTTAAGAAAAACTACTAAAAATTCTTGATGACATTAATTTATTATGCAAATAATTAGAAGAACCCAACTATATTTTAGCTCAATTACCCACCAAATTTATATCATATATACAATATATAGTTTTAATATTTTATGCAAAATTGATCAAAGTATATGACATCAAAATATGTTTGATTAAAACTTAACTTTTTTATATTTATGAACAATACATATCATTTTGTACATTTATAAATATTATAATACACATCTAAGTATTAAAATTGATTAGAAAACGTATTTACGTATTTAATCTAACGCTTAGCGTATGTCAAAATCTAGTATATAGGTTAATGGTCGATAAAAAAGATCCAAGTTCTATAGTAGGCTAGTTTCGAACTTATTAAAAGTTTAAAACCAATCCAATTGAACTTTTTATCTTTCTTCAAGATTTAAAATGATACGAATATTTGCATCTCTAACAAAAAAGCCATTATCTAGGGAATAGTTATGGTTAGAGTTGTACCTGCCAAAAACCCTCGTGAAAATTGGAATGAATATGGAAAGAGTCAAAGTTGCTTACTAACTTAGTCAATATGATCCTCTTGCGATGCCGTTTAAAGGGTCCACTATTGCCGATGTGACCTAAGTGTTTTAGTCAATTCTCTTTTCTTCCTAAATTTTTATTTTTTGCTAAACTTTTTCTTCCTAATTAAGGCAAACAAACTTGTTTCTCAGATAGTCGATAAAAATATGTTTTAAAAAAAGAAAAAGAAAAAAAGATAGTCGATAAAAATGGAAAACTTTTTTGAGAAAAAAGAAGAAGAAAAAGTTACACGTAATTAACGTAATTTTCTTTTACACATATATAATAATCAAAGTATTTTGCAATCTGCTGTAGAATTTTGATAATGTTCTCAATCACTCATTGATGAGTTTTTCTATACTAAGAAAACGATTACTAGGATATTAGTAGATAACTACTATATGTTGGGTTTTCGTTGTTGGTTTTGAAATGCTGAAGCTCTATTTCGTATTTACAGAATCACATTATTCAAAAAAAAAAATGTAATGTAGTAAATATTTAATTATAAGTAAATCTCTTTGATTTTTCTTGTCTTCTAATGATGAGGTCAAACATCGAACGGTCGAGAGTAACCGCCACTCTACGGTTTGTTAGTTAAATTGACCGTCACTTTTTTTAATTCGTCTTCTTCTTCGT